CGGTTCATACCGCTACTGCGCCAACCCTCTTGGCACACACGACAACATGCCGATTTCCGAGCGAAGCGGAGGTCTCAGATTTTGTCCCAGATCAGACACCGAATCCGGACATGTCGAGAGTCGGACAGTTTTACCCAAGGATGCCTGGCTATGGCTTCGTGAGGACGATAAGGCAAAAGCAGCAGAGTTTTGTAGAAACCGACGTCACCGTGAGCTGTCAGGGACATGTTCGGTGTCATGACCACCGCCAAGACTGCCATGATATTCAAATAGAAACGCGGCAGGAAGAAACTACACGGCAAAGCAGCAGAGGACAAGGTCAGCGGAAGGGCGGCTTGCATGGTGCGACCGGTGATGGAGTGGCACGCCGACGGATGAACGGGCTGACCGGTATCACTGTGTAACCTCTGGTGTCAACCACGGCCGTCTCCGCCGCCTCCGCGTACGTCGGCAAGCAGACTGTTGGCGGTAATCCCACAGTTAGGTCGGCTATGTCGGAGGAGAGGGGATCAACACAGTGCGACTCCTGGTCCTAGTGTAGCAGCTGACAGCGGCCAGCGGGAGGGGCCATCATATCGTCATTTTAGAGTGAAAATAAGGCGTAGTTATTCGAGATTGCGGCGTAGTTGTATCTTTCAGACCACCGCCCTGTGAGGCTTGATGGTGACTTGTTCGAGATGACATGAAACTGAGACTTCGTGTTGGAAGACGACCGGGGATATTACGTATTCAATATTCTTGAATAGAGCGCGAGATAACTGAAACGGAGGAAGGGTTGTACACTATGGTCTCTCCCGACCGGACGAATCACTGGCAGCGGCGTGGAACTTTCGCCTGGTGGTGCTCAATATGTCCGCCGATCATGACATAACCAGATGAATGCAAAAGCTCGGTGTGTAAGGCGCCCGATCCTATTGGCTCAGTTTTCGTAAAAGGGTCGTCTTGAGCGAATGCCAACACCAGTCAGCACAGCGTTTCCACCAGTAGTCCGCCGTTTACATTGTCCTGTTGTGTTACCTGCAGGCATTGTTTGTTCGAGAAGAGAAGGAAGATGCCCGGCAAACAACATTGTTGAACCTCAGGGTCATCGACAGTTGGAACCTGGGGCGCAATCCGAGATGTCAACCTTGTGCAGGTCCCTTTGAGTCCGCTTCCGTGTTGTCGATTTCTGGGAGTCCGTCCGTACCGTCGAGCATTGTGGTTGAGTGTTTGTATTTTTATGCTTTCATGAAAGCCGGCTGGAACGTGAGTGGCCGGGCTGCTACCGGAGGGGAGGTTAATTATGAGGAGGGGGAAATGAAGGTGAAGAAAGGAGCAGCACTGTGCGCACGTAATGTAGGTATTCAATGGAAATTGAGATGGAGCCCCGGGAGCCTGCAGAATCTGCAGAAACGCAGGTCGAATAAGCACTGGCAGGGTCACAAATCCCATCTTTTGCGGCAACTTGTCGGTGCAGAAAATGGATTTTCCATGATTTGCAGCCATTTCATCATTAACTGACCTAACTGACCCCTGCTGAGCTCTTTTGGAGTGTGTCAAGACCCACTGCGGAGAGCCAATGACCGTGGCGCACTGTGGCGTCACCGTTGCCGATCGGCAAAGTTACCCCACTGCCCTGCCTCCACTCAACCCTGAACATTCACCAAGGGCTCTGACTTTGCGCGCTGCCACTTGGCAAAGACTGCCTGCCAGAGTGCCAAAGAGTCGACTTCAGTCAAACTGGAGGTTCGCTTCGCTGCAGGCAGTCTGCGGAATTGGAACCCGTTCAGAGTTCTTGGGAATGCGGCTTTCGGTTTCCAGGTTCTGTGCCACACGACCAGTTTCAGCACATTCATCTTCAAGGATACATTTTGATTAGGAGGTCTCGGTACACGTCGCCCCGTCCGACCTCAGGTTCGGTCTTGCGATACTCACTTGAAAATGATTTTCTCCGATCGCCATTCTGCCTTCCAGAGCCAGCCTCTCAAACTAGATGCTCAGACCTGAGAAAGACCCCTCATTGTCCCCGCGACCAGTCGAGCAGCAAGTGAGCAAGGCACAGCTCGCTGATCGCGGTAGGAAAACAGGACCAAGCCCCCGTCGGCCACCTTCGGCGCCCCACAAGCCCCCAGGAGACCATTTCACATCCCAGCAGTGCGGGACTGGAAGCCCACCGGCCCATGCCCAATGACAGCGGCCACACTGTCCGTCCTAGCCGTCATCTCCATCTCTGCTGGCTCTCTTTACTGTTGTTCGCACTGTCTGGGGCGGCCCGACCAGGATTAGCTCTCAGAAGCCACTTGAGGGAATGGGCAATTCGACGACAGCCCTGACGTCGTCGGCGGTGCTCCAGTCAGTCCCCGAAAATCCCACGACCCACGACTTCGACCCCCATTTACGGATACTACCACCCAACACAACCACCACGAAGTACCGTACCTCGAAAGCAGTCCAAACCCACAACCCACGGCCCACGGCTACACCTTCTTACTGTTCCTAGATAGAGACCCAGCGACTGCCTGCTCCCCTGCGCGGCAGCTAAGGTACCCCTCAAACTCCCGCCTGTCAACTCGGACTCCCGAAAATTCGCTTTCAACCTGCTCACTTTCCCACACCACAACCCACGCCTGTCGGTTTGTCCACAGTCAACAGCCATCTGTCATCAGCCCTGCGTGCGCCACGCAGATTGACGAGCGGTGGGTGGCAATAATAAACCGGTTGTGCGGAACGATAACGACAGATAATAATCGGGCGAAACTTCCATCCTTAATACCGCATTCCTCTCCGTATTCTCACGACCTGTCTCAACCGACAAACCACCACCCACACGCCTCGTTATCGGTCGCGTCGCCGACATGGAGGAGGATAATCCACACAAGCCTAACATGGAGCGCTCGGATTCATCCTCGGCCTCGTCGGTCGACCACCAGGTCGACAACCAAATCCTCGCCCCGATTCCGATTCGACCAGGCCTTCCCAGTCGTCGAAGCAGCGGGACCATGATCGTACCGAGAGACTCTTCTGAAGTGGGACCCGTCGAGCTGGAGGTTGGACCGGACGATGTGAGGGCCATGAGCCCGAGGAGAACAAGCCAGGATATCGAGGCAATGGGCAAGGAAGCAAGAGCAGAGTTACAAAGGTCCGAACTTTCAACGTGTCGCCATGGCTGCCTCAAAATCTAGCCAAGACACTCGGCTATGGATCAGATGCCGAAAGAGCTATGCTAACTAGCCAACAGACATGCGAAAGCGCTCCAAGACTCTCTCATTACGTTGTTCAACCGGATCGAAGCGGTCAAGGAGGAACACCACAAGCTCGACAACAATAACAAATTCTTACAGAAGTACATCGGCGACCTAATGACGACGAGCAAGATCACGGCACCGGGTGGCAGATCCAAGAAATGAATTCCCGCTACAATGTCATTTGGGGTGAATGGCGACGGGACAGTGCTCGAGTTAGGGATCTGAGGCTGTCGGATGGTGTTGACCGGTGTCCCGCGACACCTGGTCTCGAATGGTTGGTTGAGGTGGGTTGCAGGACACAACCGTCGCAGCAGGCAAGGGCGCTAAACTACGTCTCGGTTGCTACTAGCGCTTCACGTTGTGTCGACACCGGTCTCGACAAGACCATGTTGTTGATCGTTCGGCAGAAAGCCGCGAGCTCACGACCCTGTATTAATTATCATCAGTACGAATTATACCCGGCCCAGCCACCAATACCCACCCCACTATGTCGACTCGAGCACACGGACGTTAGTCGACGTATGGGTTCTGTTTAAACCCGTCATCGCATTTATTTTTCTTCGGATGTATTTTGGGGTTTACATCGGCGTCGGCGCATTGAGGATTTGGGCGGGGTTTATGTGAGTTGCTTTTCCCAGCACGGTTGAAACATGAGCGGTTGGTTTATGCCACTACTTCGCGTCGCGACAACGGTTCATGTGGCTCTGGACATCGAAAAAAAAAATATATATATATATATATACAGGGGACTTTCCACATCATGGGGCCAAGCAACTTGGGAACCGAATACTGGACAGGAAAGCATTGCACAATGGCGTTCTTTCCTCGTTTACTTTTTTACCTTTCATGGGGACCATATCGGCTCCGTTTTGAAACAGGGCAGGCCGCGCATTACGACTAGCCTGTCGTTATTGCCATTGACCTTATGTAGATAGGATCTTTCGAGAAGAATCAGCACTAACACAATAATCCAAGTCTGTATTGTTCATTTCAAGCCTGGCTGACACTTCATGACGTGCATTTCTACCCACAAGGCAACCGTCGACCAGGGAGCCGGGCAGACAGGTTCAAGGGGTACCCTTCGTTATTAATCACAGTCTCATGACAGCTTTGCCCCCTCATCGATCCCCATCATCGTGTCACAGCAAGGCCACGCGGCCTGATGAACAAAACTGCACCGCAAAGCCAATCGTCTCCATCAAAGCAAACTCAGGACACCCCGTGTTACCCCTTGGGCCCTTGATCCCAACCCCTTTCTCGAACCCACACTTTCAGAACTGACCATCTCAGGGTCCATCCCAATTTCGTCCCAACTCGTCTCGCACGATGTGATATCAATTGTATGTATGGCCACCGCCCGGCGGCGAGCATGCTCGACAAGTGGCACCTTGGAACACACAGCACTGCTTCATTCGGTCGTCTTTCCCTACATTTCTTCAGTCCGGTTACCTACTCGAGTCACCGGCAAGGACAAACAAAGCGGACGGGAGGCAAAACCTCAGGCGACGAACGACCGGCGTGGTAGTCCGATCATCCGTGGTCATGCAGGCTCTACTCCACAACAGCTTGAGATCTGAGATTTCATGTTCCACCACACGAAGTGGTTCCATACTGTTCCATACTATTATGGAGTTTTTTTGCATGAGACTATTTTTTTTTTTTTTTCTCCCTGTTGCATTAATCCACTTCTGAGAGTCTAGCGTCGTCTATCTGCCAAGAAGCGAATCCATCTCGAAATACAAAGAGAGAAATAGAACACGAAAAATACAAATCCCAGCCGACGTGGCGCAATTGGTCAGCGCGTCAGACTTTTAATCTGAATGTTGCGAGTTCGAGTCTCGCCGTTGGCGATTTGAATTTATCTTTTCGTGTTTGCTCTTTGCTGGCAAAAGTTTTGTTTTTGATTACTCTGAGAAACTCGGCTTTCCGGTTGGGTTCGAAGCCCAGGACAGCAGATATTTCTCTTTCTTTATTTTTTTTTCTCCTTCCTTCTTCGTTCTTGCTAATCTACGTGTTCTGTTTCTATCTCTTTCGTGTCTGTTTTCTCACCTTTGTTTACTCTGACTTGCCCCTTTTTTTCTCTTCCTTATCTGCATCTATCAGACATCTGCTTCATAAAACGCGTTAAAACACATCTATCATTCGGAAGGGGTGCGAATACATGTGATCAAGCTCTTTCTTTCTCTCTGTCATAAACGCATGTTAATTGGATGCCTACCTACCCAGGTACCTGGTAGGTATTCAAATCCCGAATAATCCAAAGTCCAACCGAAACAAAACATATCGAGACAATCAACACGCACACACAGTAACTAAGTAATTACACCATATTCGCCCCATTCACCCCGATAACCTGCCCCGAAACCCAGCTACTCTCCTTCACGGCCAAGAACGCCACAACACCGGCGACCTCCTCGGGCGTACCAACACGCCGGAACGGACTCTGGTTACTAATCATGTCCAGCACCTCCTGGGTCTTGCCGCGGTAAAACAGCTCAGTCCCGCAAGGCCCCGGCGCCACGCAGTTGACACTGATCCCCTTCCTGCCCAGATCTTTTGACAGCACGCGCGTGAACTGCTCAACAGCTGCCTTTGTCGCCGCGTACAGCAGATACCCCGGCATGACGGAGCTCAGGCTGGTCACGCCGGTGGAAACAAAAATCACGCGACTTCCTGGCGGCATGTACGGGACGGATTTCTGGACCAGAAACAAAGGACCTTTGGTGTTGAGGTTGAAGTGGGTGTCGTAGGATTCGGGGGTGACGTGCTCGAGGTCGAGCATGCTCATGGTTCCGGCGTTGGGCATCACGACGTCGATGTGGCCGAATTGGGTGACTGCGGCGGTGACGAGGCGGTCGATGTCCGGGAGGGAGGAGGCATCTGCTTGGATGGCGAGGACGCGCTTCCTCCTGGAGTCTTCAGGAAGTTCAAGGGAGGAGACGAATGACTCTGCGCCGGATTTGTCGGACTGGTAGCTGAGAACGACGGAGGCGCCTTGAGAAATGACAAGTCTGGTGACGGCGGCGCCGATGCCCTTTGTTGCGCCGGTGATGAGGAATACTTTGCCAGTGAGAGACATGTTTTCTTTCGGTTCGTGCTGGAGGTGTTAATGTGAAAACGGGGTGTCGACTTGTTGAGGAGTGTGTTTATCTCAAAAGTGAGTTGGTGATACTAATAAACGACAACCGTATGAGGACCCGAGTCTTTATACGATGGAAGTTTATCTGCTCAACATTAGAAGTTGAACAATGATGTCATGTTGAGCGCTGCGTATCCGGATTGTCGTATCTGGATATCGGCGTATAGTGTATCCTAATGGAGATGATACTTACTGCGCGTGTGCGACCTCGGGTTCGTCGCTTTCGCGCATCTGTCAATCCGTAAACTCCGATTGAGGGCGGTGAAACCTGACCGGGCTTTGGGTTTCTAGCGGGCTCGGCTTTGGGTGCCGGGTTTTGCTTTGCCTTAACAAGCCGAACCGACCAGGAGGACGAATCTCGGATTTAAACCGGTCAGATCGCGCCTTGGAGATGCACGTAATATTCTCCCAGTCTTTCCACCTCGGGAATTATTATTAACCAAGGTAAGGCATCATTAGGTAACTTCAAATAGTTGGTGGCTTTTTAAAACGAGTTTCGAAACGATTTGAATGAGAGATTTTGCAAGATTAACGGGATTCTTTTTCTTTTCAGAATTGTTCATCATCCGTACCTGACGTATAAGAATATCGGATACTAATTAGTGGATGTAGGTAGGTATGTTATTTAACTTATATATCTCAGACTCTAGGAAGTCGTACTAGGCACGCTAGGTAATCAAAATTTATAACATCACCCATACTGCTTCCTCTTATCAAGCTCCATCTTTTGCCGTACTGCTATCCTTCCATCTGGCATCGAAACTAGTCCGACGTGGCTGATGCCGTCAATCCTCTCCTGGATAGCGTAGCCGACCGGGTGAGAACTCGCCAGCCGTTTCCTCAGCTGCTTATGCGTATACGAACAAGCATCGCTCCCCGCCTCCTTATTGATAACTTCGGAGAGATCTAGAATATTTCTCACCGTCTCGGCGGCGGTTCTGGCCCCGTGTATGAGTTTGCTATGGCGTGTCGAGTAGAACCACAGGCACGTGCAGACCGCACACCAGACCAATTCCTAAAATAATCCCAACAACCACTATGAACCGAGAAAAGCCCCAGATGTACCCGTCCCCGCCGGTGCAGACTTTGTGGCCGTCAACCCGGAAGTCCTCCGTCAGCAGCTTCCCCTTGTAGCACAAGCACTCGCCTAGAGGCATGCTCAGCCAGCTGCAGCCCACGCTGCTGTTCAGGAACGGAGCTTCCAGTCGAAGGCCGGTCGAGTCTGTTGTGCCAGAATGTTGAGTTGTAAGGGACCGCTTTGGGATCCTACGGAACTGACGAGCTCAGTTGAAAAAAGGATCGCACAAACTTTTGTCTCCCGATTATGGGGGTAGAATCATTTGTCCAGAACGTGTCTTCCCCATTGATGTTGACATTTTGGGCATCTCCCAGAAATTGCCATCCTCTAACCGTCGTAGGTGGCCCGCGCAGGTAAGGGTAAACCGAGTCCCATGTTAAGTTCCCACTCTTGGCGACTTCCGTTTCGTTCCAAGTCAGGGTGGTGATTGTAGCATCAGGGTCATTCGAGAATGACTAAATGTGACCGAGTTCCGTCAAGAAATTCTCCACGGCGTTTTTCGTTCCAGCATCTAACTCCAAGAGTAAGTTCTTGTTGGTACTTATCAGGGCTCAGGTTAACCGTATAGAAATATATTGTTTGGATGCCAATCTCACAGTGATATATATAATCAAGTTCCGGCTTCTCGGCTCTGTTGGGGGCAATAATCGAAGGTCTTCTCCCAAGCCGCACTGCTCAGTCAGCTGTTTTCAGAAGCTTCGTCGAGTGAAGTGTTGGTCGATGAACCAGGCGATGAAATTCCCGGCAGCTTGACTGATGATGGTGCATAGCTGGCATTTATCATTGAAGTCTCGTCTCCATGGCCTGCCACCCACGCTACGTCTCCTGGCATGCCGCTGGCCGAGAACAACATAAAGTTAGAGCTCATGATGGCGGTTGATTTATTGGATCGAGGCGAGGTGGGCGTCCTTGAGCGAGCTCAGAGTTAGCCTGCACTTGTCATTGTGCAATTAAACGTGCATGGGAAGGCTGATCGAGTTCCATGCATGACCCGAGCGTGCCGAGTTTGTACCTATGTGCCTTGCCCCCCTCTGGTCGCGCAATGAGCTGTATGCGGTATAGCGTGGGATCGATTTCCATGACCCGGGTTAGTGGGACACTTGGGTAGGTACACCAAGTGCAGGTGACTAGGGTGCAGAAGCTGACTGGCGAGAGAGCCAATGTACAGACTACAGATCAAGTCTCCGGCCAGACGCGCCGAATTCTCCTGATCGACATCTACCAAGTCTCTGCGTGGAAACTACCGACCATACACACCATGGGGAACATTGGCGGGCGGTCAAAGGATTGCTTGACCTGTCGAAAACGGCGGGTCAAATGCAGTAAACTCGCTCTACTTATCTGGGACTCTATTTTGGAATTTGACTAAACTGGCTCAAGACGAGAGCCGCCCGACCTGCAGACGATGTCAGAGCCTGAACCTCGAATGTGACGGACCTAGATCGACTGCCTTGTCAGAAGAGGTTGGACGGTCGCCCAGCATCGCCGGCTTCGATGTGTACATCTGCTACACCCAGTCGCATCTTCAACGCGATGGCCTGATCGTGTCCGCCATAACAGACACCCAAGCCGTCGACCTGATGCCCTTGCGAGGCGCCACCGTGGTCAGCCACCAAGTCTCACACCAGGCCATCATGAGAGCTTCGCCACCATCCTGTTCGGCATCCAGCACCGGCAACCGCACATTACCAGGCAAGGCTCCGCAATGGACGGTGTCGCCCTGAGACAGCTCAACGAGGTGCTATCGGACGCAACACGGAACACCCGCGACGACGAAGCCATCGTTGCCGTGGCGGCACTGGCCATCTCCGAGATGCTGGTGCGCAGCGGCCCCGACAACTACCTGACACACATCATTGGCTCTGGAAAGACTGATCGATCTTCGAGATACCGTCGCGTTCTGGCATACAAAGTCGGCCGGATTCCGCAAAGGCGTACGCTTCATGATTCTCGTGGCCGCGCTGAAGCTCGGTAGACGGTCGATCGTTGCCAGGCCGGATTGGAAGAAAGCCACGAGGACGAAATGTGTCTTGAGAACAAGAGCTAGAGGAGCAGGACCTCTTTGATGTCCTGGCAGACTGCGGCGTTCTGCTCGCTGAGCGCGATGCCTTGGCCGATGAATGCAGTTCCCACCAAGGCAAGAGAGCAGCAGCGAGACGAAATAGAGCGACGAATATGCTCTCTGCTTCGTTTTCTTTGCCAATGGAGACAGCGCTGGGATAGCAATCCCAAGAACTCTGTCACCGACACTACTCCCGCGAGTCCTGCTCACATACACCAACGAGGACCACCCCGAGGGGTCTTTGATCACAGTTGCAACGATTCCGAACTCGCCTGCAGCGGTGATCCTCATGCTGTACAACCTGGCACTCATGCACGTGTTGCAAAGTCTCGCACCCCTACCGCTCGTCGACGAACTCGAGACGGCCACGAATAACCATCATGTTGATGAAGAACGTATCGCGGCTAGGGAAGCTTGCCGCTGCATCCAGTACTTCTTGCGTATAAGAGGCCGGCTGGATGCGAGCGCTTCACCGATCGTCCACTGGGCCGTCGCCTCCGCCTAGGCTTCGTCGCGCCCAGGACTCGGCTGAAGAGGCGTGGATACGAGATTTGCTGAGCAGCCGCAAGGG